TTAACCATGTATATGATTTCAGTGTTAATTAAGTTGTACAGAGTTATATTTACTATCGGGGGCTAGGCAGAGGGTCTAGCAGAACCGCTGATTAATGTCTGAGTATTACATGGGTAACTGTAGGGGGCTAAACAGACCTACTATTTAAAGAATATTAAATAGCATTAGCCACAAACCTCTGGCTAAGGATCAAAGGAGTTTGTGCGACATAGATTCCTAATGAACGAGTAAATATAAGTAAAGAGTTAACTCGAATAATCAAATGTCAGAATAATTAGAGAAAAAACAACCAATTTGCCTTTCAACCTAAATTCGAGGTCATACTAAAATGGAGTCAGATTTGAGTTAAACCTAAAATGAATAACTCTGTGCGCTGAAAAGAACGAACACGCAAGAAACCTTCATCCACCACTGGATACCTTCATTGGGCCAAGTGCATGGACCTTAAACTTGTGAATATTGAATATGTCATGTGACTGTTACATCACGTTGTGTAGCAGTGAGTCAGCACAGAAACTGCATCTAAAACTACACATGACAATATGCATTTATACAAGTTTTTGAATGAAACTGATGCAGAAATAATATTAAAACTTGACCCTCAGTATTAAAGGAATAGTTCACCCAAAAATGAAAATTTGCTGAACATTTACAGGCCATCCAAGATGTAGATGAGTTTGTTTCTTCATCAGAACAGATTTGGAGAGATTTAGCATTACATCACCAATCATCAATGGATCCTCTGCAGTGAATGGGTGCCGTCAGAATGAGAGTCCAAACAGCTGATAAAAACAACACAATAATCCACAGCCACACATCTCCAGTCCACCAATTAATGCATCTCATTGTTTGTGGTACAAACATGAATGATGCCACAAATCATATGGCTCTAAGCGATCAGATTTATGATGTGGGGATAATTTTGCATCCATTTAAACTAGCAAATCTATTTTCCATAATTGTATGATGAATGCTACTGATGTATTATAATTTTTATCCTGTATGTTGAGCAATATTCATTTAACAGGCCAGCTTTTTTTAACCTTAGGCTACAAGTTTCAAAAGTAAACTTTGGCACTGTAAAAATGGAAGAAAGAAAAGTGTATCAAAGCCTCTTGAATTAAGCTCCAAACCATATATATGCACTGCTTAAATGATCACAGAACAGTTATTTTCCATTCATGGCTCAACAAGACCCTTCCTGCTGACAACTAACATAAAAAGAGCTTTCATAAATAACTTAAGCTGCCAGTGAAGTATGATGGCACTTATTTGCAATTCAAATTAAGCTGAAACTCCCTTTCATCTCTGACAGAGAAGATGAGATTCTCACCTGAGAATAGAGATTCTGCCACATTCATTTACAATGGCCTAGATAAGGCAATGAAGCCACTCTTGCTGTGCTGAAGTCAACATATAACCACTGAGATATAGGATCCACATTTGGTCAGTGCGCATCTAGTTTAAAGGTATGTTTTATTTATTACTGTAGAGTGGTATAACCACTTTTTTCATTGATATATAGTGTTTTGGAAATGGATTACATTATGATGTAAAATGGGTTGTGACCATCACATTGACACTTTGCACATATCTGGTATATTTAGCTTTTTTAAAAGAACAAAAATTTACATTTAATAATTGCAGGACTACTGTTTAAATGTGACAAGTCTGTCACGCTTTAAAGGAATAGTTCACCTAAAAATGTTCTTCATCAGAACAGATTTGGAAAAAAATAGCATTAAATCACTTGTTCACCAGTGGATCCTCTGCAGTGAATGGGTGCCACTGCTGTCAGTCCAAACAGCAGATAAAAACATCACAATAATCCAAGTAATTCACACGACTCCAGTATATCAGTTGGCTTCAATTAACTCATCTACAACTTGGATGGCCTGAGAGTCAATACATTTTTAGCAAAATTATTTTTTGGGTGCACTATTCCTTAGTATGCAATGAGGTAATTGCAAAGAGGCATCACAAACTTGTAATGTAATATAATCTGAGGCTGCAATTAAACATTTATATGAAATCACATTTATTTGGGATAACACTCAAAAAGGGCATCCGTTTTGGCATGGCATTTTTTTGCAGCGTGACTTGTGTGTATTTGTCTGCATGCAATTGTAGATCTAAGTCAGTCTTGCTGTTGTGTCTGGTTGAGTGTTTAAGGATTAAGAAAAGAGTAAAATCATTTTGTTAATCTGGTGCTTTGTAGAGAGAGAGAGAGGGAGAATTTGCTAGTCGATTTCCTTTCGGCAAACTTAATTTCAAGGAAGAAGAAACAAGGAATGTACAGTACTGTTATGTATGAGTAAAACAATGCGTGACCTGCCAGTGAACCCAGACATGTCAATTGTTTTACTTAATTATATTTATATAAATAAACATGACTATTATTAATATTTAAACAAATGAAAAATATGTTCTTTTAAATAATTGTACATATTGAATTTTTTCAGACAGATTCCAATGACATTAAAGATACAAGCGATTTTCTTCAAATATTTCTATGCATGTGTGACCTTGACTTTGGTAATGCTCTCAGGAGGAGTGGTCTAGTTTAGCGATATTGAAAATGGCAGTGGTGCAGATTATCTGTATGTATCTATAGCACTAAAAATTACACTGAAAGAAAGAAATGAAGGCAGCTGGCCTCTCTCTGTGAGAACATGAGGGGGGAGATGGAGAGAATCTTTCTGACTGAAGTCCTGATGTCAATTGACTTGAGTAAATCTCTCAACATCCCTCAGACTAAAAATAACCTCAAAATACATTAAAGTCACCAGCAACCCACTCACACCAAAGAGGTCAGAAACACATACCGATCTTCACTGGATTCACATCAAGTTAGAAATCAGAAGCTGTTTGTATAAAGTATTAATATAGGTAACTTTTCTTGAAAATTAAAATCCCAAAAACTTTGAAGTCATATCCTTATTTACAGCGGACCACATCTGTTAGATGTTTGCGCTTATTATCTCGAGATGTCTGAAACTTGACCTTGGTGGAAACACAATGATTTGTGTAGAAATCTTGATGTCAACTCTCAGTCTGTTTATAAAATCGCATGAGTTACATCATCAGACACGTCTATGGCTATACATGTGATCAAAGACACAATGAATAAAACCCAAGGCATTATTATTACACATGCTCTGAATGACAGTGAAACTCATGTCTGGCCGGACTGGTACATGACAGCATCCGCTGCATCAAAAAGTTTTTTTTTTTTTTTGCTTTACTACACAATACCAGAAACATAAATGCATACTGTGTGTTTTTTTAGAAGGAAATCTATTTGTATGTTATTTCCTTCTCAACAGAAGGAAATGTAGAATCTAAGTGGTGAGAGGACAATTTCAGAAGAGCCAATCCAATCAGAGCTGGAAAACACAAACACACCAGTATTCCAACTGTGCTACTGTCTTTCGAAACATATGTTTCTAATCATCCCTGGGTATTTACTTTCTGTGCAAAGAGCTTCCTCCAAACAAGGATGAAAGAGGATTCAAAGAGAGAATCAAAATGAAGGGATTGAGAGTCTTAGGAGTGATAACAGCTTCATCTCTCTGTCTCTCACTCATTAAACAAGCAGCTAGTTCTCACAGCTCTGCAATTACTGCTTCAGCTGTACAATTACTACAAAAAACAACAGCTGCCATCATCTATAGAAAAAACACAGATGACTGCACACACAAAACAGAGAGATAAAGAGAGAGACGAAGTTGCATTAATATGGTAATATGGGGGGGAGTCAATCATGGGTAGCATTAGTTCCGATTCATTTTCACGACTCGGTTCGTTTCAGTGAACCAGTTCAAAACGGATTCTTTTGAGTCATCAAATTTTCCGAGAAGTGCGGGATTTTGGTGTTTTCTACCTATGAATAAAAATTACTTTGCTTGTTAAAGGTGCTTTATGTAGGATTGACACCGAGTGGTTGAACTATTGCAGACCAAATTAAGAAATCTTGGAGAGGGTTTTTTCACCCGGCCCCTCCTCCTCAGACTTGACGCACACGCAGGTTGCCAGATTGACAACACCATCAGGAAGGAGCGCACTTGACGATGAATTAAATGAAATACGCTGTTTTCCGCCAACTGGCAACCCGGGGTGCCGAAATACAATTGGGTAAACTGGCAGTGGGCGGGTTTCACAAACCAAAACAGAGACCGACATTCCGGCCAGAACGCACATTTTCATACTGACTGTAGCATTGTTTTTCAGATAAACAAGTATGTTAACTTAGCATGTTTCTTAAATATCTGCAAACATATTATGGTATTTGTATGCTTTAGTAGAGTCAAAAACGTACATACAGCACCTTTAAATACAGACTTTGAAAGACTTTCTGGCATTTTTTTTGCGGCGCAATCTGTTAGTCTCGCAAAATTAGCTTAAACGTCAACTAAAGTATTTTTAAACATAGGCTAATACTTTTGTATTACAGATACTTGTGGTATGTTCTTTGAAAACAGTAAAATTATGTGTTTAAGGTTCCCAACTAATTTTTCTGATGTTTAGTTGTCACACAGCCTATGGAAACCCGTTTCCGCCACAACAACAACAGAAAAGGTAATCGCGACTTTTTATCTCACAATTGCGTTATACAAACTCGCAATTCCGACTTTTTTTCTCAGAATTGTGTGATACAAACCTGCAATTGTGAGTTAAAAAGTCATAATTGTGAGACATAAAGTAACAATTGCGAGACAAAGTCAGAATTGTGAGATATAAACTCGCAATTCGGAGAACATATCAGATATAAACTCGCAATTGCGTGTTATAAAGTCAGAATTTTTATCTCGCAATTGTGACTTTATAACTCGCAGTTGCGAGTTTATATCTCACAATTCTGTGAAAAAAGTCAGAATTGTGAGATAAAAATTCGCAATAACCTTTTTTTTCAGTGGCGGAAACGGGCTTCCATACACAACCCAGTGGATTGCAACTGCTTTTCGAATCGGTTCAAATGAATCATTAAAAGGAATCGGCTCAAAAGAGTGATTCGTCTGGAAACTGTGCATCACTATCTGAGAGTTTTCCTCCCTTTTTACAGTCAGACTCTAACGTTACATCCCAGATCCTGCCTCTGCTCGCGTGTCCACGCTTTCACTGTTCTACAAGGGTAGGTGTTTACTTAATTGATCATTTGTAATGTTAACGTTTTGGATTAGAACAATAAAGAAGTGTCCAGCTTATCGGTAGTCTCAGCAGGACTTTGCTTTGTTCCTCTGCCTCTCTGTTCCAGCTCTGATGCCACGTTAGTGGTGAAATTTATAACGGGGTTAAACTCCACCATGATATTTCAGGGTCAATTATTTAAAAAACTTCTTTGACAGTATAGGTTGTGCTTTAAAGCTTTTTTCGAGTGGTCCCCAGATGAGACCCATATTCAAAGCACGTCAGAAGCTGGAAGGTGTGGCTGAGATAAAATAAGAGTTTCAATTGTCTTACAAATAATCTTTATCTATTTAAAAAATACATTTAATACGGGTAAATAATGAGAAGCTTTTTTTTCTTTAATGTCCAGAGTATGCTAAATAAACAGCTCTTTGTGCTTATATTTACATAAATGCCCATTGAAGCTGTTCATATCCATCAATGTGTGCTTGTAGCTCTTTCCTACTTAGAGGCCAATAAAACCACAAGAGAACATGATGTTCTGCTGTCTAAAACTTAAATGTGAAACCATGATGCTTCCCAAGTTTTAGCATCATAGCTCAGACTTTTATTCAATATACTGCTTTTAAAGAGTTTGTTTTTTGTTTTGTTCTGTTTTCTTTTCACACACACACTTGTATGTAAAGTGCAGTAGTGGTTATACTTGCACATTTAAGTAGGCTAATTCAGTTGGTTTTTGTTCTACATGTTCCATTGGCTGATGTTTTACATAAAATATATTCAAAACACACTGACCCCATGATACCTACATGTTAGTAACTTTTTCAAATTGTGACCAACAATTCTTGATTTAGTTGAAAAGTTTTTTTCCCATTCAATTTGTCATTCCTGCTTCCTGTGGCCTTCCTTTCCATTATAAAGTGATGTTTATTATAATGTCCAGTTTATAGGCTGAGACCATCACCATGAAACTTTTGGCCTTGGCCCAATAACAACCTCTTACTAGGTTGTCCTAATATTGGAGAAACGAGTTTAGACTGGTGTTGTATACATGAAAATAGTTGTGAGCTTGCTTTAATAACTGTGATATCTCTCTTTATTGCAAGGGGGCAGAATGGGAGCAAAGCTCAGTCGGAAGAAGAGTGAAGCGGGGATAGGAGCCGAGACAACAGGTCCAGCTGAACAAGAGACTGGAACAGCAGAGGGCTTACCTGTGGCTGAAAATGCAGAGCAGAAATGTTCTGAAGGTGAGATTCAAGAAGAGAGCAAGCCTGCAGAAGAGAAGTCTGACTCTTCAACCAGTGTTCTGCAAGGCCTTACACAAGCTGTAGGAGAAACGGTCAACGCAGTCACTGAGCAGATTGCTGCACCGGTGGAAGATGTTTTAAACAAAGGTATCGAGGCAGTGGAGTCCGCACTGGCATCCGTCAGCCTGATTGAGAAGGAACCGGTTGCTCCAGAGAAAGAACCTGAACAGAAGTCTGAACCTGTGGTAGATCTCGCTGATTCTTATGTTCTCCAAGAACCCAGCCTCTTGGATGACCTCCTGAAATCTCCAATCTCAGAAGCCCTTATTTCTGGAGTCACTATGGTGAGTGAAGCCATAACCAGCAGGGTAGTGGAAAACAAAATTAGTAATCCTGCACCAGCTGAGAACAAGGATTTGTTGGAATATCTAGATAAGGTGGAGACGCCCTCAGTGGACCTCCTGAACTGTACACTGACCCATGAATCCACAATCCCTAACTCGGATCCATCATTCACTTTGGAAGATATGGGACAGAATGCAGCCGACACAGTCAACCTTATATAGACCACTACTCACCTCTAGAAAACAGCAGCGGCTGGAAGATCATTAGGTGCAAGTATGTCAGCACAATATTCAAGAAATTAATGAATTACATGTTTTTTCCCCCCTGAGGATGTAGTCATGAAACAGGGTTGTTTGTCATTCAGAGTTGAATTAAGGTAGCAAACTGGATGCAGAATTTCAATTCAAATTTGTATGTTAGAAAGAATTAAAATGAATTGAAATTCAAAGAACTTCATAAAACTTTCATTTTATCATGAATATTTTCTTGACAAAGCCTTATTTGAAAGTTTGGACCAAAGTTTAAAAAGCCTTGATGTTTGAAGGTTTATATTAGTCAATAGATCCAATTCTTTATTTCTGAGTTTTACACAACCCTGTCATGAAAAAGTTGAAAGTTACATGTAAAACCAGCCACCTCAGATATCTAATGAACATTCCTAAAATTATGCCTACTGAGTCGCTGACAAGCAGCAAACCAGCCATCTGATATTTGTTATTCTTGATGGTCTATATTCTTCCGAGCTTTTGTGTATGAACCGTTCAGCCAGTCTTCTAGGAGAAGAGGAAAAGAATGTACGTTAAAACAATGATTGTAATAAAGGAAAATAAAGACTGTAACACATCACAATGACATTGTTCCTTGATCTGTATTTTGCATTTAATCAAATACGTTTGTGGTATGCATTCCTACAGTATCTTCTCAAACATATGAACAAAACATCAATATGTGAAAATAGCTTGATTCAACATTACTGCAGTGCCTCTGGAGTTAGAAATAATTTGGAGTACAGACAAAACTCAACAGAAGTGTATGAACAATCCCAATACATGGGAGTTTCCTGGGAAGATAACATGCACCATCTCTCAGTTTTCTCAGCGAAGCTTCTGGGGAGAGGGGCAACATTCTTACCAGAGAAAAGTCTCATGGGACAGTTTTTTTTTTAGGTTAACTTTCTGGATCTTTTCCCAAGAAACTTTGGCTTTATTATAAATAAACATCTTTCAACTGAGTTTTCTGTACTGAACGTGTAGCAAAGTTTTTGATGAAATATTAAGCTGCTTCCATTTGCTGAAATCTCAAGGAAATGCCATGCCTCATTATCCTTGTATAACAGCTTTGTGTATTTCAGCCATAAGAGGAATGAATTTAGATGACATGGGGGGGGGG